AGTGATAGAGTGCTTGCCTAGCATGCATGAAGTCCTGGGTTCGATTTCTCAATACCACATAAACAGAAAAATCTGGAATTGGCGCTGTGGCTCAAGTGGTAGAATGCTAGCTTTGAGCAAAAGAAGTTCAGGGACAGTGCCCAGGTCCTGAGTTCAAGCCCCAGGACTGGCCAAAAAAAAAAAAAAAGGAGGGGCATAGAAAACTCACATGAAATGGTGGTGATAGGAATAATAACGACTGCAGTGAAGATATGGACTTGAAATTCAAGATATCCGCTAGAAAGAAACAGAAATGAAGGCCTTGATCTTTCAGTGAAATAAAAGTGAAACTAAATGTCCCAAGAGAAAGAAAGGGGGGATCATAAAGAGATGAAAAAGATTGGAGAAATAGCCTGGGAGAATTTAAGATATCAGGGAAAAAAAAAACAAACCTGGAGAGAAACCCGTATCTCAACAGAAGCTAACACTGTACTGATAGCTTCTGTGATTTTTGTCTAACAATATTCTACCGGCTAGAAGCAGAAGCCAAGAATTTAGCTGATAGACATAATTCAAGATAGCTGGTGGTTCAGGCCTGTAATACTAACTACTCAGAGGCTGAGACCTGAGGATCATGATTTGAAGCCAGGCTAGGGAGGAAAAGTCATGAAACTCATCTACGACTAGCTACTAAAAAAGCAAGAAGCAGAGCTGTGGCTCAAGTGGCACAGCACTAGCCTTAAGCACAAAAAACCAGGGACAAGAGCCAGACATTGGTAGCTCATGCCTATAATCCTAACTACTCAGGAGACTGAGATTTTAAGATCATAGTACACAGCCAGCCCCGACAGGAAAATATGAGACTCTTAACTCCAGTTAACCACCCAAAAAATCTAGAAGCTGTGTGTGACTCAAGGCAGTGCTAGCCTTGAGTGGATAAGGCTCAGGGACAGCATTCAGACACTGAGTTCAAGCCCCAGGATAAGCAGCAGCAGCAGCAGCAGCAGCAGCAGCAACCGCGGCAACCACCACTACCACCACCACCACCACCACCTCACACCTGTAATCCTAACTACTCAGGAGGCTGAGATCTGAGATTATGGGTTCAAAGCCAGCCCAGCAGGAAATACCCCATGAGATTCTTTTTCCCTTTTGTCAGTTGTGGGGCTTGAACTCTTGAGCCTGAAAGCTGTCCCTCAGCTCTTAAGCTCAAGACTAGCAGTTTATGGAGATAACAGGACTGGCTTTGAATAGCAATCCTCAGATCTCAGCATCCTGAGTAGCTAGGATTCCAGGCATGAGCCATGGGCGCCTGGTCCCAAGAGACTTTATATCTCTAATTAATCACCAGAAAACTGGAAGTGGCACTGTGGCTCAAGTGGTAGAGCAATTGGCTTGAGATGAAGAGCTCAAGGACAGCATGCAGGCTCAGAGTTGAAGTCACAGAACCAAGCAAAAAAAAAAAAAAAAATTACAGTATTAGTAGTATTTTCAAAGTACACATTAAAAGTTGCTAGCCAGGGCCTGGGAATATAGCTTCATGGTAGGTGCTTGCCTAGCATGCAAGAAGCCCTGGGTTTGATTCCTCAGTACCACATAAACAGAAAAAGCGCTGTAGTTCAAGTGGTAGAGTGCTAGGCCTTAAGCAAAAGAAGCTCAGGAACAGTATCTAAGCCCCTGAGTTCTAGCCCCAGAACTGGCAAAAAAAAAAAAAAAAAAAAGGAGAAAAGAAAGAAGAAGAAGGTACTAATTCAACAAAGACCTACTAAGTAGAGCATAAAAAAGGATGGTATGCCACTTTAGAATGAGTAATTGGAGCAAAGTAGCTGAGTCTGGGTTGTCATTGTGTACCATAAGGTAGGTGGGCTGAAGTATAAGGAAAATGGAAAGCAGCAGAATGAGAAACATATATAGCACACTTTGAAACGGACTGTGTATATCACTGCACATGCAGTGTCACATCTACAGACGACTACATGTATAGATATCAACAACTACAAACGAAGACTACAAAGAGGGCTATAAAACCACTGTGCACTTGCACAGCCTTTTACAAACTACTTTCCCATACACTCTCATATTTACTAATCACTGGGTCAATACCATTGGTATGTACACTAAGCTAAGGACAAAGCGGTAGGAAAGAACAAAACCATTAAGAAAGCTTTGAGTCTCAACTTCTCACATACACAGTGGACACTTCAGCATCTCAGACAGCCGGGCTGACATTCTCAAGCCAGGAGGAATTATGAATAGTATGAACTCGTCTAAAAGCTTGAGAGAGAAAGGCCACTAGATAGCTTCCTTTTGGCCTTCTATCACCTTGGACCCCTCAATCTCATCACTGCAGAGGGAAGGAAAGGGTGGCTCCAGGAGTAGAAAACTCCCAAGTTGAAAGTTCCTTTTCCCTTCACATTCCCTGGAACTCAATGACCCAGGAAATGAAGAATGAGGTAAAGAGTGGGAAAAACGTATGTAGCCATGAAGGGGTCTTCAGCAGATACCAAGTGGAGAACAAGAGTGACAACAGGTCTGGGGTGGGATGGGGAGGGGGTACAGCTCAGAGCTGGGGGAGGGGAGGGGAGGGGAGGGGAGGAGGGCCGGAATTGGAGGGAACGGAGAGTTGCAGAAGCTTGTAGGCCTGGAGAACCCTATCAAGAGATGGGAATTCCAAACGCTAGCGAAAAGCTGAAGCCCAGTGAGGATCCTGAAGCAGACAGCTTTGAGAGACCCCCCGAATCTGGGTGACCGGAAGCAGAGACACCCCCCCCAAAAAAACCCATGAAACCAGAAGGGGGCGCAGGTGACACCCCGGAGGAGAATGAATGGAGAAGGCGGTCCCGGGGGCGGGGCAAAGGAGGGGCCCCGATAGGGGCGGGCCACAGACCTCTTCCCAAGTCCGAACCCCTTCCCCGAGAACCCGGGGCGAGAAGCAACCCGGCGATTCCCGCACTCACCGCCGGTCTCGTCAGTTACATAGGGAGTCGCCATCTTGAAAACACAAACCACTTCCGGCGTGAGCGGGCCGGGATCCCGCCCCCCTCCCCACCGGAAGTGGAGTCCTTGTCATTAGCCAGCCACCATTTTAGTCTTAAAGGGACATGCCCCTTTTCCACCGCGGCAGAAGGGAAGGGCGGGTTAGAAGCGGGCGCAGTTAATAAACCAAACCCGTGGGTTTATTTCAACTAGGGTTGAAGGGCCTCTGGGGTGGCACACGGTCCTCCGGGCGCCGGAAGTTCCAACCTAGAGTCGGAGCCCGGGCATTTTTCAGAGGTCCAGAACACGCCGAGGGAGGAAAGCCGCACGAGGCCCATCTGCGCCCCGACAGACGGACAGAACGGGGTGTTGCGGGCCTGGCCGGCGCTGACGCGGGGCAGGCAGACTCCAGCCCGCCCGGGCGCGCACCAGGGTGTCTGGAGGACAAGGACCAGGCCTCCCCCCACCCCCAGCCGGCGAAGCCGTAAAAAGGGGTTGGAGGTCGGGCTCGCGAGCCGACCGTCCGCGGCCGCCCAGCATCACCCTCTCTGGACCGAGACCTACGGAAGAGTGTGCAAATCGCAGGGCGCTGCGGATCGGTCACCTGTCCCCGCAGCTTCAGAGTGGCCGCTGACTTCCATAGCCGAGCTGGGCGCTCAGGCCCTGGTCAGACCCGGCCCCAAGCGCGGGCCCCGGGAATTCGGTGACGAAGTGACTTCTGGCCCCAGCCTGACAGGGGTCAGAGGGCACCGAGAAGGCATCTGGGCGGATCCACTTAGTATTCTAATTAACCTAGAAGCTAGGGATGAAGGGCGGGGCAACTAGCCAATAACCGGGCCCGGGCGGTCACTCCCCAGGCCTGCCCGGCCCCGTGCGTCATTGTTCTCCAGTGGAACCCAAAGTCCGGTCCCCGCCCCCCCCCCCCACCTCCCCGCCTGGTCCCTCAGTAACTGTGGTTCCCCCAAGGGCTAAATCCTGTTAAACTTGTTTTCCCTGCAGCCTGGGAGGGGCCTGGCCGCCTTCAAGTTCTTAGGCTCGGTGTCTGCCTCCCACCCCCTTCCTGGCTTTTGTCTTAACCCCTTTACTTTCACTCCGAGTTCCACTTCGGCTTAGGCTGGGATCTTACAGTTTCTCTGCCATCAGGGAGGTGGGAAGAAGTAAACTTTGACAACTACTTTAGCTTTTAGGCTGTAGCCCTCAATTGAACTAAAGGACAAAACCAGAGCAATGACCGATTAAGATCTGAAACACATTAAACCTTGGAAGTTTCCTGGGGCCCACACCTTGCCTTCCTTCCTATTCTCCCAGCTCCATGATTTCTATCGGAAACCCGACTCATCAGGTCTCAAAACTCACTTAAAAACTATTTGCATACAGCCAGAGCTTTGTTTTTGTTTTCGTTTGGCCAGTTCTGGGGCTTTAACTCAGGGCCTGGGCAATGTCTCTGAGACTCTTGGTGCGCAAGGCTGGTGCTCAACCCTTGAGCTACAGCACCACTTCCGGCTCTGAGTTTGAGATAAAAGTTTCTCAGACTTTCTTGCCGGGCCTGGCTTCCAACCGCGATCCTCAGATCTCAGCCTCTAGAATAGTTAAAAGATTAAAGGCATCAGCCACTGGAGCTGGGCTGCAGCAGAGGTTAGAGGTTTTTTTTAAAAAAAAAAAAAAAAAGAAAAGAATAAAAGCAAAACCTATTTTCATCTAATCTGTCACACCTACTCTTTGACCTCTTCACTCCTGCCTCTTCCAGTACTCTGTCCTTAGAGTTGTAATTAGTAACAGATGAGAATACCTGGAAAAGCTAGTGACATACTTTGGTCTTGACTGAAGTGTCTGAGTAGTTTCTGCATCTTCCAAAGGTCCAAAGGACCTCTGCAAGGGGGGCATAGAGGAAAGATCCAAAAGAATCCCCTGTTTACTTACTTTACCTAACTCGAGGCCACCCTCCACCCCCAGATATCCTGCCAGCTCTGGGGTTGGCAGGAAGTGAAACTCTAATTGCTTAGTAAACGGTAGGACCGGATGTATACCCCACCCTGAGGAAGAAGAGAGGAAAGAAGAGGCCAGGGGAGAACAGGCTGTTGTTTTTTCCTTTCCCTTTGTTCATTGTGGTTTCTTTGTTTCTGGCTTTTATGATGTGGTTGATTAAAGAGATGAGCACCTGGAAACTTAGGCAGTAGCAGCTTCCTCCTTACATGTTTCTTGCCCTTTATTCCCCCACTCTCACCAACAACTGAAGGGGTGTGATGGAGCACATATCCCAAAGAAGACAGAAAGAAGGCTAAAGTAAGACTGATTCTCTCTTCTTCCTTATTACATAAATAACCTCACTCTACTTTGGCTTTTTGCCGGTCCTGGGGCTTGAACTCAGGGCCTGGGCACTGTGTTCTGAGCCTCTTTGTGCTCAAGGCTAATAATGCTCTACCACTTGAGCCACAACACCACTTCCAGCTTTTTCTGAATAGTTTATTGGAGGTAAGAGTTTTCACGGACTTTCCTGCCCAGGCTGGCTTTGAACCACCAGATCTCAGCCTCGTGGGTAGCTAACATTACAAGTAAGCGCCTGTGATATCATTCTTACTTTGAAGTAAGAAAATGTCTTAAAATGTCTTAAATAACTTTAGAGCTGGGAAGTTGGCTCAGTGGTAGAGTGCTTGCCTTGCATGCATGAGGCCCTGGGTTCAATTCTTCAGCACCACATAAGCAGAAAAAAGCCAGAAGTGGTGCTGTGGCTCAAGTGGTAGGGCGCTTGCCTTGAGCTGAAGAGCTGTGGGACAGTGCCCAGGCCCAGAGTTCAGCCCCTATGACTGACAAAAAAAAGAAAGAAATTAACTTTAGGGGTGGCAGGTGTGAGGTCCCAGGTTCAAACTTTAGCAACACAAACAGAAGGAGAGTCTCTATCTGTAAGGTTTAATGGAAAGCATAGTTATGGATCTATTCTTAGTGAAATTGTGTGTTTGTTTAGAATGGCTCAAAACAGAGAGGTTTATATACTTCAAGCCCCTTCCATACAATCCATAACTCATGTTTTTTGCCTGTCCTGCAGACATAGGCCTTCAAAAGGGTTTGTTGAAACCTGGGTTGGTGGCACTTGTCTATAATCCCAGTTCTAGAGATTCTGAGGCAGGAGGATGTCCTATTTGAGGCCAATCTGGCCTATGTGAAACCCTGTCTCAGAAAAAAAAAACAAGTGTTGACTAAGGAGTCATCATACAGGAAGAGAAGACAAAGCTTTGCTAACCAATTAAGAAAGTACTGTTAAAAATGAAGGATGGGTGCTGGGGAGATAGTAGAGATGGTAGAGGACTTGCTTAGCATGGTTGAGGCCCTGGCTTTATCTCAGCACTACCAAAAAAAGAAGACGAAGAGAAGCATGAGGAGGAAGAGGAGAGCTAGTGCTGAGACTGAGGATGAGCCAGACATGGTGGTAGGTCAAGCCTGTAATCCTAGCTATTCAGGAGGCTGAGATCTCAGGATCATGGTTCAAAGCCAGCCCAGGCAATAAAGTTAATGAGACTTATCTCCAATAAACCACCAGAAAACAGGAAGTTGCACTGTGGCTCAAGTGGTAGAGTACTTGCCTTGAGCTGAAGAGCACAGGGATAACACCCAGACCCAGAGTTCAAGCCCCACAACTGACAAAAAAAAAAAAAAAAAGACTCTGTATGAGATCTGGAAAGGACACAGGAACAGAGAGACGGACCTTCTTCCAACCCCTGCCAGGGATTTCCAATAATAATAACTTCACATGAATTACTTAGCAATGCTATTTATGGTAAAAGTGGGGAAGTCTTCGCAGCAAGCATTGTGGTGTGTGTGCGCGCGCACGCCTGTCCTGGAGCTTGAACTCAAGAACCTGGATGCTATTCCTGAGCTGCGTTTGTTCAAGGCTAGCGAGCACTCTTACCCCTTGAGCCACAGCTCCACTTCAGGCTTATTTTTGGTAGTTTGTTGGAGATAGGAGTCTTAGGCACTTTCCTGCCCTGGCTGGCTTTGAACCATGATCCTCAGATCTCAGCCTCCTGAGTAGCTAGGATTACAGGCATGAGTGTCCCAACACCACCTAATCTTGAAGTAATGGCAAACTGCTTAGGTCCTTCTCTTTCCACTAGAGGGCCTATGTATTCATTCATTTTCCTCTCTGACGCCCACCAACATACATGTATATTTGTACATACATATGCACCACACACACACACACTTACAGGCAGAGCATTCTCTCTCCTTTTCCACCCCTAGATGTAATAGGGGCAATTCCAGGAGCCCAAGACCTTCTTACCTCGCCCTACTTTAATGAAAGGTAGGAGGGAGCTAGTGGTTAGGGCGGGGCCAAGGAGCAGGATATCTGGGTCCCAGTTCCTACCAGTGAGTCCCTAGGCCTGTGTCTCTCTCCCTTGCTCTAGCCAGCCTCACATCCGTGCTATCACAAGAACGTTGACAGCTCTCCCCAGCAGACTCTAGTCAGAAGTTGGGTCTGCTTTCAGCCCCTACTTTTTGGCCAGGGCCTTCTGCCCCAACTGCCCAGGTCAGGAGATAAAATGGGAGGGTTGGGGCATGGATGGACGAGTATTCTTGGAGATGGGTCTTGAGGGAAGGAGGTGTCCTTCCAGTGGGACACTAAGCCTGAAAGGGAAGAGGGGATCCTGGGGGAGAAATGGGGACAGGTTGTCTCAGGCAGTGAGGAGCCTTGTGAGTCTGCGGATGCGAAGTTTGGTTCTCTGGGTTGGGTCCTAGTGGACTCTTCTGTTGAGTCCTGGTAGATGTAAAGGAGGTGGCCAGGGAAGTCTCTCTAGGATAACAAGTAGGAGAGGGGAGCCTGGTGAATGGCAGCTTGGAACCAGTTGCTCTCAGCAGCAGCATTCCCCCATCCCCTCCATCTTGGCCTCTCAGGTTAGGGATGAGGAGGGAAGTTGTGGGTAGTTAGATTGAGAAATAGAGGCAGAGTTGCCCCGGGGCGCGGGAAAAAGAAGGAAAAAAAAAAAAAGGAGCTCAGGAAGTGGAAAGTGGCACCGACCCTTAGCCCTGGAGACGATTGGGAGCAGGTTCCCGTTGGAAACGTGGAACCCCAAGCCTGTCCAGTGCTGAAGTTCCCGGAGTTGGGGGTTCCGGAGCAGCGGGTTTTTGGCAGGCTGGGGCGGGGATGGGGGGGGGGCGGGCAGCTGTGTCGTCAGTAGCGGGGCGGCCCTGTCTCCTGGCCCGGCCCCTGCAGCCCAACCCCGGCTCCAGCTCCAGCGCCGGCGCTTCTGCTCGGACCGCGCGCCCTCCGCGGGCCAGGTAGAGACCCCGCTAGCCCCCCGCCCCGCCACTTGCATGATCCCGGGGCAGGAGGGTGGGAACCACGGATGGGGACACACCACGAATTGGGTTAGGGCTGAGGGATCGAGAGGGAGGAAGCGTGACAGCTGGAGAGCGTGGCTAGAAAGGTTTGCGCTGGGACGCAGCGGGGGGGCTGCCCCAGGGCTGGGCCAGAACCCCAGGGGAAGTGTTTCCCCAGATCTAACCCCTCCAGCCCTCCTGCGCACCCTGAGGGATGGTGAAACTCTGCTTCTGGGGACCTAGACTGATAGGAAAGTCCCTTTTGGAACCCTCACAGCGCCGCGAGGGTGGAGAAGGCGTCTGGTTTGGCCTCCAGGTTCCCAACTACCCATCTCCATCCTGTCTACACCTGTCACCACCGGGAAGTTTCTGAAAATAGCTGAAACAGAATCCTACTTTTCACCATTAGATAGGAGAAATGAGCCTTACGGAGGAAGAAATGCAATATTATTGGATATCTTTTCAGCCTCAGAATATTGACACATCCCCCAAGCATGCCAACATGGTAACTTCCTCCTGTCCGGCGTAGTAACACCCTTCACATACAACATGGGTACCATCCCTTTAGCCAGGCAGCAACATCATCTATGTATGATGTTTGTGGAGCTTAATGAATGTTGAGGCTTCAAGCTAAATAATTCCCTCTTGGAGATAACTGGCTAGTAGCAGAGATAGCAGGAAAGAATGGACCCCCATTTATTCCTGGTAGAGAAAAAGGAAAACACAACCTTCCTGATATGGCTGAGGAACTGAAATCCAGGTTAGCAGCCTACGCCCTCAAATGAAGAGTTGCTTGACCCTTGGGATTTTCTGCTAGGACAGCTTGAATGTCCTAGGACATAGATAATTCTTGAATAAATGGTCAACTTAAATGACTTGGCTTAGCACTGACTTTGGAAATATTCTTTACCCCTTGGTTAAGAGCAGCTTTATCATTTGATGTTTTAAAGGAGATCTTGAGAATGAGAAGCACCAAGACTTAGTGCAATGAACTAAGGACAAAGTGTCTTGAGTCTGGCTCTGATCCTGAGACTCATTTCTCGGGGCTCAGCTCCCTCCTTTGGAAAATGATGAGAGTCAGCCCCAGATCTGAGGGTGTTCTAGGATTCTTTCCCCTCAAGTCAACTTCTTCCTTTCTCTTTCCAAATTGGTAGAGGTGAGGAGGGAAACTAGAGGAGAGAAGGGTGAGTCACAAATAACTGGCGGGCAGCAGCAGACCCCACCCTCCCAGCCCTAATTTTGCCTGGACTAGCCCAAGTTATAGCTTCAGGGTTGGGATGGAGCTGGAGGACAATATTGGACTTATGCCAGGTGTTTTCTTTTTTCTTTTTTTTCTCATATGGTGGTTTGAAACCAGAGCCTCTTGCTTTCAGGCACGCTACTACTTGACCCACACCCCTGGCCCTTGTTCCAGGTTTTTTAAGGCCCCAGTTTGCAGCTTTTCAACTCTAGGAGCAGTTAACCTCTGGTGAGAAGTCAGGACGAACAACTTAATAGATCCCAGGAGTACTCAAGTCTAAGGCCCCAGCCCAGTGGTGTCCTTGAACACTGACAGTCTATTTTCTAGCCAGCTCATCATCTTCCCAGAGGCAAAGTTCAGGATTCTAATGGTACTACATGCCTGTACTTGACGTATATAAAAAGGGCAGGAAGTTTAACACTGGGCTTCACTACTGATAGAAGTCCCTAGAATTTCTATCTTTCTGGCTCAAAGGCATCATTTTTCCTAATATCCAGGTGTACTTCTCTAGGTATTCCCTTATATGATAATAATAGCTAATGTTTATTGAATTCTTAACTCTTTGCCATGGAAACACTGTACACATTGTTTATGTAACCTTTTCCTTTTTAAAAATATTCATCCCAGCCAGGTGCCGGTGGCTCATGCCTGTAGTCTTGGCTAGAGGATGAGATCTGGGGATCTATGGTTCAAAGCCAGCCTGGGCAGGAAAGTCTGTGAGACTCTTATCACCAATAAACCACCAGAAAACTGGAAGTGGTACTGTGGCTCAAGTGGTAGAACGCTTAGCCTTGAGCTGAAGAGTTGAGGGACAGTGTCCAGGCCCAGACTTCAAGCTCCATGACCAATTCCCCCCCCCCCAAAAAAAAAGAATTCCAGTTTGTGATTGATTTCTCTAGATATCCATTTTTACTGATGAGAAAATAGATTGGGCTGGAAGTATAGCCTAGCTTGCTCAAAGCTCCAGTACAATCCCCAGCTTAAAAAAATAAAAGAACTGAGGTTCAAAGAGACAAAGTGACTCATTTAAGAGCTAGGCTTCTAACTTATGTCAAATTCGAAAGTCCATTCTTAAACTGGGTGTGGTAGTAGATACCTGTAAGTCTAGCACTCAGGAACCAAAGGCAGGAAGAGCAGTGAGTTTGAACCCAGCCTGCTCTATGTAACAAGCTTCAGCCTAGTTTGAACTACATAGCAAGATACTGTCTTTAAAAAAATGAAAATTCCATTCTTCAGGCAGGCCTGGTACCACCTATCTGTACCCAGCACTCTGAGGCTAAGGTGGGAGAATCAGAGTTTAGGGTTAGTCTGGACTAAATAATGAGACTCTTGTCTCCAAAAAAAAAAAAATTATAATCTTTTTTTTTTTTTTTTAGTTGGTCGTGGGGCTTGAACTCTGGGCCTGGGCAATGTCCTGATGTCCCTGCGCTCTTCAGCTCAATGCAAGTGCTCTACTGCTTGAGCCACAGTGCCACTTCCAGTTTTCGAGTGATTTATTGGAGATAAGAGTCTCACGGACTTTCCTGCCCAGGCTGGCTTTGAACCATGATCCTCAGATCTCAGCCTCCTGAGCTCTTTTTTTTTTTTTTTTTCCCAATCTTAACTTTGGTTATATGCACAGTTCATCCAGGTTTAAGACCTGGGATCCATGAATGAGCAAGAAATAGTTGGATAACTGTGAAAAGAGATAGGGAGCCAGGTGTCAGTGGCTCACGCCTGTAATCCTAGCTACTCAGAAGGCTGAGATCTGAGGATCACAGTTAGAAGCCAGCCCAGTCAGGAAAGTGCATGAGACTCATTTATCTCCAATTAACCACCAGAAAAACTGGAAGTGGCACTGTGGCTCAAATGGTAGCGCACTAGCCTTGAGCAAAGAAGCTCAGGGACAGCACCAGACCCAGAGTTCAAGCCCTAGGACAAACATGGAGGGAGAGAGAGAGAGGGATAGGGAAGATGCATCTTGTTATCTTCTCTCAATTACTCTCCCTATGGCTTTCTGTGTCAGCATTTCTTAGAACTTCAAAATCATGGGGCTGGGAAGGTGGCTCAGTGGTAGAGCGCTTGCCTTGCATGCTCGAGGCCCTGGGTTCGATTCCTCAGCACCACATAAGCAGAAAGAAAAAAGCCGGAAGTGGCGCTGTGGCTTAAGTGGTAGAGCGCTAGCCTTGAGCTGAAGAGCTGAGGGACAGCGCCCAGGCCCAGAGTTCAGACCCCATGACCGGACCCAAAAAAAAAAAAAAGAGAGAACTTCAAAATCATCTAAGTGGACATCAAGAGGCTCATGCCTGTAATATTAGCTCCTGGCAGCTGAGATCTGAGGATTGTAGTTTGAAGCCAGTCTAGGCAAAAAAGTCAGTAAGGTTCTCCTCTCCAGTTAACCAGCAAAAAGCTAGAAGTGGAACTGTATGTAACTCAAGTGGTAAAGTACTAGTAAAGAAATCAAGCCAGAGAGTTTAAATTCCAGTGCACATGGGCGCGCACGCATGCGCACACACAAGAATCCACAGTAATAATCATAATTAAGCCAAACAAACTGTTACATATGCATTAGATCTGTTGACAGTAGAAGCTGGCTTATAGTCATTGATAAAGGCCAGAGGGCAGTCTTTTCTTCAGGATGTCAGTGTCCCAGGAACTCCTTCCAGGTATTCCCAGAGAACCCCTGAGACAAGAATGTTGTGCCCCATAGAGGTGAACAGCCGAGATGTCCAAAGAATTAGCTCTGCCAAGAGTAGTGAAGGGTGTTTCCAGCCAGGCAGAACATCAAGTCTCATGGCCCTGGACAGCCAAGAACTTGGCATGCTTGGGGATTAGAATGGAGGGCAGTAAGACTAGAAAGCAGCTTATGACTGGGAGAGAAGAACAAGAGAGTACAGAATGATAGAGGCCCTCCCATGTGGTCCTGGGACTGGAGCCTGGACTCCTCCATGTATCAACTGTTTAAAGAAATCCCAGCCTGTCTTAGCTCCAGCTTCTTCTTCTTCCTCGTTCTTCTTGCTTCTTCTTCTTCTTCACCCTCCTTCATCTTCTTGCTACTCCTCTTCCTCCTCGTCTTCTTCTTTTTTTTTTTTTTGGTCAGTTGCGGGGCTTGAACTCTGGGCTTGGGCGCTGTCCCTCCGCTCTTCAGCTCAAGGTGAGCAATCTACCACTTGAGCTACAGTGCCACTTCTGGTTTTCTAGTGGTTTATTGGAGATAAGAGTCTCACGGACTTTCCTGTCCAGGCTGGCTTTGAACCACCATCCTCAGATCTCAGCCTCCTGCATAGCTAGGATTACAGGTGTGAGCCACCGGTGCCCAGCTTTCTTCTCCTTCTCCTTCTTGTTTTTGTTTTTTATTTTGGGTCCAGTCGTGGGCCTGAACTCTGAGCCTGGGAGCTGTCCCTTAGCTCTTCAGCTCAAGGCTAGCGCTGTACCACTTGAGCCTCAACGCCACTTCCCGCTTTTTTTTTTTTTGCTTATGGGTGCTGAGGAATTGAACCCAGGGCCTCAAGCATGCAAGGCAAGCGCTTTACCACTGAGCCACCTTCCCAGTCCTTCTTCTCCTCCTCTTCCTGTTCTTCCTCCTCTTCCTCCTCCTCCTCCTTCCAGTCCTGAGACTTGAACTCAGGGCCTGGGGACTGTCCTGAGCTTCTTTTGCTCAAGACTAGCACTCATCACTTGAGCTACAACACACTTCCAGCCTTTTCTGTTTATGTGGTACTGAGGAATTGAAGCCAGGACTTCATGCTAGCAAGCACTCTACCACTAAGCTACATTCCCAGCCCCTGCTTCAGCCTCTTCTTTGCAGGCTATTACAGGCATTCACCTCATGTCCAGCCAGCTTAGGTTCTTTTGTTGTTGTCGTTTGGTTTTTTCCTTTCTGTTTAAAACTATTAGTGTCAGGGTTTTATTTATTTTTGTGGTATGTATGTTTGTAGGTGCCAGTCCTAGGGCTTGAACTCAGGGCTTGGGCGCTATTCATGACCTCTTTTGCTCAATGCTAGCTCTCTACTACTGCTCACTAACCATTTTCTGGTGGTTAATTGGAGATAAGAGTCACACGCCAGCCAGGCACCAGTGGCTCAAGCCTGTAATCCTAGCTACTCAGGAGGCTTAGATAGGAGGGAGGATCATGGTTCAAAGTCAGTCTGCAGGAAAGTCCATGAGATTCTTATCTCCAGTAACACCAGTAAACCAGAATTGCACTGAGACTCTTTGTCTCCAATAAACCACCAGTAAACCAGAATTGGCACTGAGACTCTTATCTCCAATAAACCACCAGTAAACTAGAATTGGCGCTGTGGCTCAAGTGGTAGAGGGCTAGCCTTAAGCTAAAGAGCTGAGGGACAGGCCTAGAGTTCAAAGCCTCATGACCTGACCAAAAAAAAAAAGTCTCACACACTTTCTTGCTCAGGTTGGCTTTGAATGGAGGATCCTCAGATCTCAGCCTCCTGCCTTAATAGGGTTACAGACATGAGCCCTAGCACCCTGGGATGAATTTTTAAAAAGGAAAAGGTTACATAAACAATGTATACAGTGTTTCCATGGTAAAGAGTAAGAACTCAATAAACATTAGCTGTTATTATTATATAAGGGAGTATCTAGAGAAGAACATCTGGATATTAGGAAAAATGATGCCTTTGAGCCAGAAAATAGAGCTCCAGGCTCTATTGCTTTTTATTAAACTATCTAGGCATTTCCTAGGCAGATGGGCAGACAGGATCCACATGCCCTCTCCTCCTGGGTTCTTAGGTCCAGTAGTCAAAAGTTGGGGCTCCCTAAACGGCAAGTGGAGGGTGGGTGAAGTCCACTGAGACGTGAGACTGCAGCACAAAGCCTCCCTGACCCCTACCCCCCTAGTCCAGTGTCTACTTCCTGGGGAAACCAGAGCCTTCCTCCCTTACCTGCTCCATCCCAAGGATGCCAGGCCCGGGCTAGGAACACAGCCACAGCCGGTTCTGTGTCTCGCGCGCGCAAGTCAGAAGCGCTAGAGGTCGTTGCGGGGGCGTGGGTGGCTGGACCCGGCTTGAGGTCCCGGGCTGGAGGCTGAGCGAGATGGAGTTGTGTTTGGGGAGGCGTGCTAGCACCGGAAGAGCCAGCAGGACGGTGGGGACTGACCGCAGGATGACCTGGGAACCCGGGCCGCAGTGATACTCACTCAGGGAAACACATACGGACTGGGAAAGTGTGTTGTGGAGGAGGGACCTGGATAGACAGACAGGTGATACAGATCCAGTGAATGGAGACAGATGGGGGAGGGGGTGGGGAGAAAGATCCAGAAATAAAGGAGAGAATGTCAAAGATGAGTCAGAGAAGTAGAGACAGGACAGGCACTGTTAGGGACTGTAGAGACAGAGGAGAGAGAGAGGGGGGGAGACCCAGAAAGGAAGGGATTCAGGGAGGGAACTCAGAGACAAGGAAAGGCCAGAAATCATAGTAGGAATAGAGACAGTGGACCAGACAGAAGCGAAACAATGCAGACAATTGGCTCTTCATAAAAACTCCTGGTGTCTTCCTCCAGGACTACCCTCTGAGAAGAACCAAACGCAAGAAATTCTACTACCAGGCTATCTTTGCCCTCATCCTTAAGGTAAACAGAAAAATGGCCAAGGAGAGGGGCCTAATAAGCCCCGAAGACTTTGCCCAGCTGCAAAAATACATGGAATGTGAGTCTTCCCTCCCAGCCCTTCCCTTTAAGAGACTACCCCCAGAGAATCTCTCTTCCTTCTCATTCAAGTCTACATTTTCTCTAGTGGTCTTGAGCCTCTCTGCTCCTCAGATATGCCCAGGAGTGGGGAAGGGGAGAGACGTGATGGGCAAATGGCTGTCACGGCTTGTTCCAGGCCTCAGAGGAGAGGGGAGACAAGAATGGTATCACTCTGGAGGAACTGAGATGTTTTTCCCTCTGGATTTCTGTGTTTCTTCTTGAATTTATTTTCCTTTTTCTTTTTGGTTGGTTGTAGGGCTTGAACTCTGGGCTTGGGCACTGTCCCTCAGCTCTTCAGCTCAAGGCAAGCGCTCTACCGCTTGAGCCACAGCACCACTTCCGGCTTTCTAGTGGTTTATTGGAGATAAGAGTCTCACAGACTTTTCTGCCTGGGGCTGGCTTTGAACCAAGATCCTCAGATTTCAGCCTCCTGAGTAGCTAGGATTACATGTGTGAGCCACCAGTGCCCAGCTTCCTTTGCTCCTTCCTTCCTTCCTTCCTTCCTTCCTTTCTTTCTTCCTTTCTTTCTTTCTTTCTTTCTTTCTTTCTTTCTTTCTTTCTTTCTTTCTTTCTTTCTTTCTTTCTTTCTTTCTTTCTTTCTTTCTTTTTTTCTGGTCCTGGGGCTTGAACTCAAGATCTGGGCATTATCCCTAAACTTTCTTTTTTTTTTTTTGGTCGGTCAAGGGACTTGAACTCTGGGCTTGGGTGCTGTCCCTGCACTCTTCAGAAGCTCAAGGCGAGTGCTCTACCACTCGAGCCATAGTGCCACTTCTGGTTTTCTAGTGGTTCAAGGTTGGCACTCTATCCCTTGAGCCACAGCTCCACTTCTGGTTTTTGGTGGAGATAAGAGTCTCACAGAGTTTCCTGTCCCAGCTGGCTTCAAATCCTGATTCTCAGATCTCAGCCTTCTGAGTAGTGGGCTGGGAATGTGGTAGAGTTTTTGCCTAGCATACATCAAGCCCTGGGTTTGATTCCTCAGTACCACATAAACAGAAAAAGCTGGAAGTAGTACTGTGACTCAAGTGATAGAGTGCTAACCTTAAGCAAAAGAAGCTCAGGGACAGCGCCTAGGCCCTGAGTTCAAGCCCCAGGACTGGCAAAAATTAAAAAAAAAAAGTATCCTCAGCCTTCTGAGTAGTTAGGATTATATATGTGAGCCACTGAGACCTGGCTCAAAATCTCTTTCTTCTTAAAAAAAATTCTTTCTTCTTATTAATATATCTTTTTTTTTTCCCTTGCTGGATGTCTTGTTGGGACTCTGAGGAAAGCTAGAGAGCTGAACTAGACTAATGTGCTTCTCTAATTCTCTTCATACCTAGACTCCACCAAAAAGGTCAGCGATGTCCTCAAGCTCTTCGAGCATGGTGAGATGGCCAAATATCTCCAAGGAGATGTGAGTGGCGGCATCTGGGGAATCATCTTCTTGACCAAAGCCTTCCATCTTTGCTTCTGTTACTACACTGGGATCCCCAGCTTCCAGAGATTTTTTTTTTTCTGGCCTCAACTCCCTTGATACCACCCATGTAAATAGCCCCTTGTCCATTATCCTGGACAATTATTGCTGTAGGACAAAAACAAGAGACCTTAATATTTAGGAATTGCCCCCAGAAACCATATTCCTGTCTCAGAAGTCTCTCAGCTGTGCCTTTATCCCCTGTCTCCACTACTCCCAGTTCTTCAGTCCCCAGCTTCTCCCAGCTGACTTCCCAGAGTAAGGCTCACTATCATCATAGGCCATTGGGTACGAGGGATTCCAGCAATTCCTGAAAATCTATCTGGAAGTGGAACAAGTACCCACTCACCTGAGCCAGGCACTGTTTCAATCCTTCCGCACTGGGCACTGTTTAAACGAGGCTATGATCAAAGGTATGGTTAAGCACACAGGACTGGGCTAGGCTGGGGATTGTGTGTGTGTGTGTGGGGGGGGGTGTTCCAAATTAGCCTGGGTTCGGGGATGAGAGTTGAAGGGAGATCAAGAGAGTGGTAGAAGGTGGTCAGGCTGGACTAGGAATTGGCAAGAGGAAGGTTGAAGGGGAGTTGGAAGATCCAAAGTACAGAGAGAACCTGACCTCTGATCTGCTGTATCTTTTTTTTCTTTTAATAGCAGATGTAGTGTGTCTCAGTGATGTCTCCTGCTACTTCTCCCTTCTGGAGGGTGGTCGGCCAGAAGATAAGCTAGAATGTGAGTTGCCATTCTGGACTGGGAGAGGGGAGGAACAGTGAAGAGGGAAGAGAGGTGTTTTCTAGCTCCTTCCCCTCATTGCTTCAGGATCCTTAAAGGCTAACAGGGCCAGACAGAAGTGGTGCCAAAGAATGGGCCTATTTTCTTTTTTTCCCCAGACTGCTTGTACCAAACACCATTCCTCATAGTCATTCTAGTTCCTATATCTTATACATTTTCCTCTGGGTTGTTCTTGAGATATGAGAGCCTGTGCTTTCTCTTCTATCAGATTTACCCAGAACCTTGCTTGGGTGCTGGTGGCTTACGCCTGTAGTCCTAATTAATCAGGAGGCTGAGATCTGAAGATCATGGTTCTAAGACAGCCCGGGCAGGGAAAGTATCTCCAATTAACCACCAAAAAACTGCAAGTAGAGCTGTGACTCAAGTAGTAGAGGGTTAGCCTTACGCAAAATAAAAGCTAAGGGCCAGCACCTAGGTACTGAGTTCCAGCCCCAATACTGGCATGCACACACACACACACACACACCCCACACAAACACAAACAGATTTACCCAGGGTAGCATCTATTGCCTGTTCCGCTCCCTTTTTGTCTCCATTCCTCAGTCCCATCCCAAGCTCTAGGCTCTTAGCTGCTCCCCTCTAACCCTCTGTCTTATTTCCCCTGTATTCTAGTATGAATTCTTTGGGTTTCTTTCACCAACTGACCCTGGTTCCTCTAAAATATCCCACAGTTACCTTCAAGCTGTATGACACGGACAGAAATGGGATCCTGGACAGCTCAGTGAGTTTCGGGACCTGTATGACAAGCAAGGGAGTGTATCTGTCCTGTCCTGTCCTGTCTCAACTCTCTCATGGCCTTAAAAAGTTGTGCTGAGGGCATGGCTCAAGCGGTAGAGCGCCAATCAAGCAAGCTGAGAAAATGCCAGACCCTGAGTTTAAACCCCAGTAACCGCCCCCCCCCCCCCCCCCCCCCCCCCGCCACATACACACACAAAGAGGAGGCAGAAAAGGACTGGAGGATAAAGGTGTTTGCCTTGAATATATAAAGCTCTGTCTTTGATCTCTACCACTGCAGAGCAGGGAGAGAGAAAAGGAGAAGGCTGGAGACATGAATTGGGGTTTGCCTTGAAAACATTCAAACACATGTACTTACCTGACAAGGGGTTCTTAGGAATGAGAGGTGGGGGTGGGCACTACTGGGTCACACCTGTAATCCTAGCTACTTAGGAGGCTGAGATCTGGGTATTGTGGTTCAAAGCCATCCTGAACAAGAGCATCCATGAGACTCTTATCTCCACTGAACCATCAAAAAATCAGAAGTGGTGCTGTGGCTCAAAGTGGTAGAGTGCTAGCCTTGAGTACAAAAAGCTCGGGGACAGTACCCTGGCCCTGAGTTCAAGCAAAAACAAAAAAAGAATGAGATGTAGATCTAGGGATGGAACTCAGGAGCTCTGTTTTCTGGAGACAAGTTTGGGTGGTAATAGTAAAGTGGCTATGGCTGTGGCTCTAATCCTTTTTGTCCCAGGAAGTAGAAAAAATTATCCTCCAAATGATGCGAATGGCAGAATATCTGGATTGGGATGTGTCCGAGCTGAGGCCGGTAAGACATTTTTTCCTCCCTGTGCCTTATCTACCCTCTTTCCCTGTGGTCCTGTATCTGCTTTACCCCCTTCCCCAATGGGCTAGGTTGGCTATGCTAGGAGAAGTATCTGAGGAACCATTTACATCAAAAGTCCCTTCCCACTCTCACTCAGATTCTTCAGGAGATGATGAAGGAGATTGACTATGATGGTAGTGGCTCTGTCTCCCTAGCTGAGTGGGTCCGAGCAGGAGCTACCACGGTGCCACTGCTAGTGCTGCTGGGGATGGAGATGGTGAGTGAGTAGGAAAGGCTTGTGAGGATGGGTGAAGCAGCTGTCTGGGGCTGTGATTGTCAGAGGTTGGGCCTCTAAGAAGTAGGTCTGTTCTGTGCCTTCTATAGACTCTGAAGGATGATGGGCAGCATATGTGGAGACCCAAGCGGTTCCCCAGACCGGTCTACTGCAACCTGTGCGAGTCTAGCATTGGTCTTGGCAAACAGGGACTCAGCTGTAACCGTGAGTAATAGCACCTGGCAGTGTGGGAGAAGAGGAGGAATCCAGCCGCTGGTGGGAATGTAGGCATGCTGATCCTAGACCTGGATTTGAATTCTGGGCTCTGCCACTGACTAGTTTGTGGCCTTGTGAATGTTTCTGCCTTTTTTTGTTTTTGTTTTTTGTTTTGTTTTCAGTCATGAGGCTTGACTGAACTCTGGGCCTGGGTGCTGGTCTTCAAGGCAAGAGCTCTACCACTTGAGCCACAGAGTCACTTCCGGTTTCCTGGTTAACTGAAGATAGTCTCACGGACTTCCTTGCCTGGACTGGCTTTGAACCACGATCCTCAGATCTCAGCCTCCTGGGTAGCTAGGATTACAGGGGGGAGCCACTGGCACCTGGCATCTTTACTTTCTTTCTCCCTTCCTTCTTTTCCTCCTTCTTATATCTCTCCTCCCCTCCCCTCTCCTGTTTCTCTTTTTTTTTCTTCCTTCCTTCCTTCCTTTCTTTCTTTCCTTTTTTTTCTTTCTTTTTTTGTAGTGCTAGGGGTCAGACCCAGGATCTCTCAGGCATCTAGTTTCTTTAACTGAAAATGAGCTAATTGTAAGCATTAAAAGGGTTGATACACAGGCTGGGAAGGTAGCTCAGTGGCAGAGTGCTTGCTTGCATGCATAAGCAGAAAAAGCTGGAAGTGGCATGGTGGCTCAAGTGGTAGAATGCTAGCCTTGAGCTGAAGAGCTCAGGGACAGTGCCCAGGCCCAGAGTTCAGGCCCTATGACTAACAGAAAAGCCAGACAAACAAAAGAAAGGTTGAAACATAGCAGGCACCAGTGGCTCATGCTTATAATCCTAGCTACTCAGGAAGCTGATATCTGAAGGTCATGATTTGAAGCCAGCCTAGGCAAGAAGGTCTGTGAGACCCTTATCTCCAATAAACTACTCAGAAAAAGCTGGAAGTGGTCCTCTGGCTCAAATGATAGAGTGCTAGCCTTGAGCACAAAGTGGCTCAGGGACAGCAAGTAGGCCCTGAGTTCAAGCTCCAGGACCAGCAAAAAAAAAAAGTTGATACAACAAATGCAAATACAGCAGTGGTACTCACTAGATGCTATGTGGAAAATGAACTGTACAACTTGTGGATGGGAACAGGAGGGAAAATCAGAGAGAGAGAGAGTGACAAAAAGAAATGTACTCATTACCTGACTTATTTAACTGTAACCCTTCTGCACATCGCATTTATAATGACAATTTAAAGAAAAAAAGAGGTTGATATAGCTGGGTGCCACTGGCTCACATTTATATTCCTAGCTACTTAGGAGACTGAGATATGAGGATCATGGTTTAAAGCCCACCTGAGCAGGGAAATCCATGAGACTCTTTGTTTCCAATATCTACTGAAAAGCCAGAAGTGCAGCTATGGTTCAAATGTAGGCCACTAGAAGACCACCTGAAATCCCTTTCTAACAAGAGTATGGCAGAGTATGGCTAGTAGCTGATGCTTATAAGCCTAGCTACTCAGGAGGTTAAGATCTTAGGGTTGGAAGTCAACCTTGGCAGACAAATCCAAGAAATGGAGGTGTGGCTCAAGTTGTTAGATACCAGCCTACAGAACAAAGCTAAGCAAAAAGTGCAAGGCCTTGAGTTCAAACCCTAGTTCTGGCACACACACACACACACACACACACACACTCTCACACACTTGAGCACAGAAGTGCCCAGGCCTTGAATTTAAGCTGCAGGCACACACACACAGATTGATCCAGGCTGGGGGCATGCTTCCACTCAGTTCAATCTCAGTACTTGGAGGAAAAAAAAGAGCTTCCCAAAGCACATGTGTACACTATATACTATGCAATCATAATTAGTTGTTATCATTGTCATTATTATAGTTACACTGGTTTCCTTTACATTGTCCAGCTCAGTTACTACTTGATGAATGGATGGTGTGGGGACAGGCATGGGACAACAGTTGCTCTTTTAGGAGGATGAAAAAGGCATAGGTCTTGGAAGTAAGAAAGTATCACTTCTCCAAACTTATGTGTGTGAGTCTTTGTGTGTGTGTGTGTGTGTGTGTGTGTGTGTGTGTGTGTGTGTGTGCCAGAACTAGGGTTTGAACTCAAGGCCTAGCACTTTTTGCGTCGCTTTGTTCCGTAGGCTGGTTGGTATCTAACAACTTGAGCCACACCTCCATTTCTTGGATTTGTCTGCCAAGGCTGACTTCCAACCCTAAGATCTTAACCTCCTGAGTAGCTAGGATTATAAGCATCAGCTATTAGCCATACTCTGCCATACTCTTTTTAGAAAGGGATTTCAGGTGGTCTTCCAGTGATCTTTTCTCATGCCTAAGTAAGAAAAGTAAAAGAGAGGGAAAGCCATGATAAGGCTCTGACCTTCTTCCCTCTTCTCCAGTGTGCAAGTATACTGTTCATGACCAGTGTGCCATGAAGGCAATGCCTTGTGAAGTCAGCACGTATGCCAAGTCGCGTAAGGACATTGGTGTGAGTGACCCCATGCTCCCTCCACTCCTATCCTGGCCTGGGTCCTTAGCCTGTTACTGCCCTCAACCCCTCCTTCCCCCAGTCTCTACTCAGACCCTCCCAGACAAGAGGCTGCCTTTCTCCCCAAGATCCAATCTCACGTATGGGTGCGAGGAGGCTGTGAGTCTGGGCGCTGCGACCGTTGTCAGAAAAAGATCCGGACCTTCCACAGTCTCACCGGGTTGCATTGTGTATGGTGCCACCTAGAGGTCAGTTTGGGAGCCCCAGTGGTGACAGCCTTCCCTGCACAAATCTCCATCCCCCTTACAGATGCAGTTGTGCCTGTTCCCAAGAGCTTGCTTTCCAATCCAGAGTTCCACATTGTGAGGTGACCAGGTCACTTGCATGATCTCTGTGTGTCCATCTTGTCCTTCAGATCCACGATGACTGCCTGCAGAACATGGGCCCTGAGTGTGACGGTGGGCTGCTCCGTGATCACATCTTGCCTCCATCTTCCATCTACCCCAGCGTTCTGGTGAGACCCTAGGGAAGGAGCAGAAGTGCTTCTCTTCTTTCCAGACCGACATATTCTCCCCCAACCCCCCCGCAAAATGACATTTGGAATAGAAAGACTATTCCTTGTTGTTGTTGTTGTTGTTGTAGGGCTTGTATTTGCTGTCCTTGAGTTCTTCAGCTCAAGGCAAGCACTCTGCCACTTGGGCCACATCGACACTTCCCCGAGGTTTATTGGAGATAAGAGTCTCACAGACCTTCCTGTCCGGGCTGGCTTTGAACCTTGATCCTTAGATCTCAGCCTCCTCAGTAGCTAGGATTACAGGCATGAGCCACCGGCACCCAGAAGACTATTCTTTTTTTTTTTTTTTTCTGGGTCCAGTCGTGGGGCCTGAACTCTGGGCCTAGGCACTGTCCCTCAGCTCTTCAGCTCAAGGCTAGCGCTCTACCACTTGAGCCACAGCGCCACTTCCGGCTTTTTTCTTTTTGCTTATGTGGTGCTGAGGAATCGAACCCAGGGCCTCATGCATGCAAGGCAAGCACTGAGCCACTGCTCTACCACTGAGCCACCTTCCCAGCCCCCGGAAGACTATTCTTTTAAAGATTCAAGCCAGCAGGTGGTGGTGACTCATGCTTACAATCCTAGCTGCTCAGGAGGCTTTGATCTGAGGATCATGGTTTGAAGCCAGCTTGGTCAGACAAATCTGAGAGATTCCTATCTATAATGAACCAGCAAAAAGCCAGAAATAGAGCTGTGGCTCAAGTGGTAGAGCACCAGCCATGAGCAAGCATGAAGCTCTGTGTAAACAAGGCCAAGTGCAAGCATGAGGCCCTGAGTTCAAGCCCTAGTTACAACACACACACACACACACACACACACACACACACACACACACACACACGTAAGCTAACCCCACCTGTTTGGGGATTCATGTACAATTTGCCTTTTCTTCCCTCTGCTTTGCTCTCTTCTCAGGCATCTGGACAGGACCGCAAACATAGCAAAACAAGCCAGAAGACCTTGGAAGACCTAAACTTGTGCACCTCTGAGGCTCTGCGGGTACAAGGCTTAGGGTTCATGGTTGTACCCGTTTTTGGCTGGGAGGGACTGAAGTAGGAAAGACTGGGGAGTGGTGCCCATTCTCTGGACACTTCCCTCTACAGGGGAGGTGGGAAAGGTGAAGGGGAAAGGCATCTTGAAAAGTGCCAGTCCTTTGCCTCTTCTCTAGGGCCTACCTTAGCTCTGACCAAATCCTGTTTATCCTTATTTTCTTCTCCCACAGATTGACCCTGTTTCTAATACCCATCCACTTCTAGTCTTTGTCAATCCTAAGAGTGGTGGAAAGCAAGGGCAAAGGTGAGGAGAGCTTGGAGAGAGGAGCGGAGCGTGTTTGTGTGTGTGTGTCTGTGTCTGTGTGTGTGTGTGTGTGTGTGTGTGTGTGTGTGTGTGTGTGTGTGTGTGTAGGGGCCACTTTGAGAATATCAAGAGTACAGAATATCATTCTCACTTGGCTTCCACCATGCGCTTTTCTCCCCCTTCACGCAGGGTTCTTTGGAAGTTCCAGTATATCCTAAACCCTCGGCAGGTGTTCAACCTCCTGAAGGATGGTCCTGAGCCAGGGTGAGTTTAAGTTAGAGGACATCTAACGGTGGTTTTTGTGTGTCTGTTTCTATGTACATTAAGAGCAGGAAAGAGTGTATGTTAGGAAAGAAAGCCTAAGATGCCAGAATTCCAGTTTCTTCCTTTCCTAAAGATACTAGGCAGGCATCCTGTCCTCTTGGTTCACTGGTCCATATTTATCCTGTTTGGAGATCCCATCTTTATCCACTGAGTAACTTACAACTTTTTCTATTGTTCGTGTGTGTGTGTGTGTGTGTGTGTGTGTGTGTGTGTGTGTGTGTGTGTGTGTGTGTGTGTGTGTGTGTGTGTGTGTGTGTGTGTGTGTGTGTGTGTGCTGGGGCTTGAACTTAGGACCTTGAATTTTCACTTGGCTTTTTACTCAAAGCTGGCACTTGAGCCATACCTCTACTTCCAGCTTATTGCTGGTTAGTTGGAATAAGAGATCATGGATTTGGGGCTGGGAAGGTGGCTCAGTGGTAGAGCGCTTGCCTTGCATGCTCGAGGCCCTGGGTTCGATTCCTCAGCACCACATAAGCAAAAAGAAAAAAGCCGGAAGTGGTGCTGTGGCTCAAGTGGTAGAGCGCTAGCCTTGAGCTGAAGAGCTGAGGGACAGCGCCCAGGCCCAGAGTTCAGGCCCCACGACTGGACCCCCCCCAAAAAAAAAAACAAAACAAAAAAAAGAGATCATGGATTTGTCTGTCTAGGCTGGCTTTGATCCACAGATCTCAGCTTCCTGAGTAGCTAGGATTTACAGGCGTGAGCCATCAGTGCTTGGCTTTTTTTTTTTTTTTTTCTACTGTGTTTTGTCCATCTGAGGATTCAACTCCAGCCCCATGCATGCTAAGTACTCTACCACTGGACTACGTCCCAGATCATAAACACAACTCTTGTCAAAGGGAAAAAGAGTGATAGGAATGAGAGACAAGATATGTTCCCTAGGAGTTGAGTAGCCTCTATCCTGTTATTGTTTATCTCCTTTCCCTTTTTTGTCTCAGACTCAGATTCTTCAGAGATGTCCCTGATAGCCGGATATTGGTGTGCGGTGGAGATGGCACAGTGGGCTGGATTCTAGAGTCCATTGGTCAGTGGAGGGAGAGGCGTCGGTCAGGAGATGGGAGCAGTGGTCTGCCAGATCCAGTTCTATCCATCATTTCTTTCACCTGCCTTCCTAGACAAAGCCAGCCTGCCCGTTGTGCCTCCCGTTGCTGTGTTGCCCCTGGGCACTGGAAATGATCTGGCTCGGTGCCTAAGATGGGGAGGAGGTACGTTGTTAGAAATTGTTTTGCTTAGGGGCTGGGAAGGTGGCTCAGTGGTAGAGCACTTGCCTTGAATGCCTGAGGCCCTGGGTTCGATTCCTCAGCACCACATAAGCAAAAAGAAAAAAGCCGGAAGTGGCGCTGTGGCTCAAGTGGTAGAGCACTAGTCTTGAGCTGAAGAGCTGAGGGACAGTGCGCAGGCCCAGAGTTCAGGCCCCACGACCGGACCCCCCCCCCCCCAAAAAAAAGAAATTGTTTTGCTGGGATCAAGGGTAGGGGGAGTTGAGTAGAAAGAGGAAAGCAGCAGAGTGGGGTTCTCAGGGATCATGCCTGTAATCCTTGCAACTAAGGAGGTTGAGATGGGAGGATTGAAAATCGAAGCCAGCTGGGTCTGAAAAGTCTATGAGACACTTATCTCACCAAAAAGCCAGAAGTGGAGACGTGCCTCAGGTGGTAGAAGAGCACCTGTCTTTGTAAGAAAGTTCAGAGATAGTGCTGAGGCCTTTAGTTCAAACTCCAGTACCAACACACACACACACACACACAAAGAGGCAACAGAAAAATATATGCATCTGATATACAAAGAGGGTCAAGGAAGGAGAAAGGCACAAATAGTTAATTATGACAGTGGAGTGGCCAAAAGGAAGAGAGCTTTAGAAGTAGGGACTACATTCTAAATATTGGACGGTTAAAGATGGGAGTCCTCTTCCCTATAAACTGAAAGATACATGTCTGTTTCTCACAAACAACTGTTAGGGCTCAGATGACCAAGGAAAATGGTGTGTGTGCATGGAAGGGAGGTAATGGGGGAATAAGAAAGGTTGTGTAAGAGCTAAGCCATGCCAGAGCTAATAACAGGGAACTTGCACATGGTTTATTCATTTAGTTCAACAATTAACCAGCCGGGTGCTGGTGGCTCATGCCTGTAATCCTAGCTACTCAACTCAGGTGACTGAGATCTGAGCATCAGGGTTCAAAGCCAGCCCAGGCAGGAAAGCCTGTGAGAGACTCTTATCTTCAATTAATCACCAGAGAAGTGGAAGTAGCATTGTGGCTCAAGTGGTAGAGTGCTCACCTTGAGTTGAAGAGTTCAGGAACAGTACCCAGGCCCAGAGTTCAAGACCACGACCAACCAAAAAAAAAAAAATTAACCATATGGTCATTCATTCATTATCATTTTTTCTCATTGCAAAAAGCTGGGTAATAATTCTTTTTTAAGCTAGCATAAGCCAGGTTCTGGTGGCTCATGCCTGTAATCCTAGATATTCAGCAGGCTGAGACCTGAGGATCATAGTTGAAGCCAGCTTGGACAAGAGAGCCTGCGAGACTCTTGTGTTTTTTTGTTTTTGTTTTTTTGGTCCATTGTAGGGCAGAATTCAGCCCTTACATGAGTTCGCTTTGCCTCCTGGAACATTTTTTTAAAATATATCCTTTTTTTTTTTTTTGCCAGTCCTGGGGTTTGAACTCAGGGCCTGGGCACTGCCCCTGAGCCTCTTTTTGCTCAAGGCAAAAAGATAAGAGATAAGAGTCTCACGGACTTGCCTGCCAGGGCTGGCTTTGAACCACCATCCTCAGATCTCAGCCCCCTGAGTAGCTAGGATTACAGGTGTGAGCCAGCAGCACCTGGCTATTTCTGGCTTTTTCTGTGTATGTGGTACTAAGAAATCGAACCCAAGGTTTCATGAGTGCTAGGCAAGCACTCCACCACTCAGCCACATTCCTAGCCCATCTGTTACACTCATCTCCAGCTAACCACCAGAAAACCAGAAGTGGAGCTGTGGCTCTAGTGGCACTAGCCTTGAGCAGAAAAACTCAGGTACAGCACCTAGGCCCTGAGTTCAAGCCCCACAACTGACTACATATGTTCATACATACATATATAAATAAATAATTTTGCATACATTAATTGTACAAGGAAACGTTTTATGACATTTCCAGCCATATACAATCTGTTTTCATTGATCTCACTCTATCATTTTCTCTTACCTTTCCCCTTCCTAAAACAATTTCAGCAGGTTTCATTGTTCTGTTTTCGTACATGAAAACAAACTACTCAAACATATTCATCTTCACTCACCTTCCTTGTCAGACCAACCCACCCCCATAGTGCCTGTTTCTCGTTCCCTACCTCCTTTTGCTCATTGAACAACTATTTTTTTCCTGATTGTAAAGCAGCAAGTTCGCCGGGCGCTGGTGGCTCACGCCTGTAATCCTAGCTACTCAGGAGGCTGAGATCTGAGGATCGCGGTTCAAAGCCAGCCCAGGCAGGAGAGACCGTGAGACTCCTATCTCCAATAAACCACCAGAAAACCGGAAGTGGCGCTGTATCTCAAGTGGTAGAGCGCTCGCTTTGAGCTGAAGAGCTGAGAGACAGCGCCCAGGCCCAGAGTTCAAGCCCCAAGACCGACCAAAAAAAAAAAAAAGCAAGTTTATTGATAGCACAAGTAGAATATACAGGCTCCATAGAAAGGGGGGGGGGGTCCCAGGACCAGGGATCACTCATTGTCAACTTTCATTGAGATTCTTTTGTGTCTGCATGTGAGTGTGTACATATGCATGTACACACGTTTGCTGGTCCTGGAGCATGAACTCAGGGCCTGGGAACTGTCCCTGAGCTTTTGTGGTCAAGGCTAGTATTCTGCCACAACTCCACTTTTGGTGTTTTGGTGGTTAATTGGTGATAAACGTCTCATGGACTTCCCTGCCCATGCTGGGTTTGAATAGTAATCCTCCAATCTCAGCCTCCTGAGTAGCCAGGATTGCATACTTGAGCCATCAGCAGCCAGCTTCATATTTGGCTTTTTTGTGCTTGGCTAAACTTGTTCAAGGTGATATCCTTCAAGTCTTTCTTTAGTTTTTTTTCCCTCTTTATCTATCTTTCTTTCTTGCTTCCTTCATTTTTTCTCCCTTCTTTCTTCCCCCCTCTCCCTCTCTGTCTCCCCCTCCCACCCCTCTGCTGCTGGTACTGGGACTTGAACTCACGGCCTCATGTTCTCACTCATCTTACTTGCTCATAGCTGCTGCTCTACTACTTAAGCCAGCCAGTCCAGTGTTTTTGCTGGTTAATTAGAGATAAAGTCTCATGAACATTTCTATCTAGATTGTCTTTTGAACCACAATCCTCTGATCTCAGACTCTTGAGTAACTACAAGATATCTGACTTTCATTTTCTTTATGGCCATGTAATATTCCATAGAGTATACCTACCTCATCTTCTTTATCCATTCATCTGTTGTTGGGCGCCTCAGCTGACTCCACACTATCATTTCTTTCTGAGTCTATTGTAACAGTCCCCTAACTACATTCCATTTCTAATCTTGTATTCCTTTCAAAGAAAAAAGGGTTTCAGAAATGTTATTTGTAGGTAAAGAGATCAGTAGAGAGTAGGTTGTGCTGGAAATGTTTAGGAGGTGATATGGTAGGGCTTAGAGTCCAGTTTCAAAATTCCACTGGAGATTATGGAATAGGATTTTGTTAAAGAGTGGGAGAGGGAACCTAGATGGCCAGATGAGCACCAAACAACGTACACTGCAGAAACTTGTGATTGGGACCTAGGGTGAGAGGTGAGGAGTGGTGGGAAGAAGAAGGAACAGAGTTGAGCAAGGAGTAGATTATGGAGGCTTATAAATGTTGTGCTTAGCCTGGCGCTGGTGGCTCACGCCTGTAATCCTAGCTACTCAGGAGGCTGAGATCTGAGGATCACAGTTCAAAGCCAGCCCGGGCAGGAGAGACTGAGACTCCTATCTCCAATAAACCACCAGAAAACCGGAAGTGGCGCTGTAGCTCAAGTGGTAGAGCGCTTGCCTTGAGCTGAAGAGCTGAGGGACAGCGCCCAGGCCCAGAATTCAAGCCCCACGACCAACAAAAAAAAAAAAAAAAAAAATGTTGTGCTTAGTTTTCATCTATATCCTTCCAGAGATCACAAGCTGCATATAGAAATGTGTTTTTTATTTGGTTGGTTTTTTTTTTTTTTTTTTTTTTGGGTCCGGTCGTGGGATCTGAACTCTGCGCCTGGGCGCTGTCTCTCAGCTCTTCAGCTTAAGGCTAGCGCTCTACCACTTGAGCCACAGCACCACTTCCGGCTTTTTTCTTTTTGCTTATATGGTGCTGAGGAATCGAACCCAGGGCCTCGAGCATGCAAGGCAAGCACTCTACCACTGAGCCACCTTCCCAGCCCCATTGGTTGGTTTTTTTTAACTGTTTGCCTTTCAGTGTTTTCATATACTTAAGAGATTGCATATTTCACTTATTTACTTATTTATTTATTTTTGAAGGTGGTGTGGAGCTTGATCTCAGGGCCTGGGCACTGTCCCTGAGCTGCTCTTGCCCAAAGCTAGCACCCTGCCACTTTGAGCCATAACTCCACTTCCAGTTTTCTGGTGATTCATTGGAAATAAGAGTCTCACTAATGAAGATAATGAAAAATAAAAACAGTTTAGGGAACATGAATCAAGGTCCAGAGTTCAGTCCCCAGAAACACAAATAAATAAATAGTTTTCAGGCTCATTACAATAATGGTAACTTGAAGGTATAGCTCAAGTGGTAGAACACCAGCAGGACCAAGTAAGTAGAACAACAGCATGAGACCCTGAGTTCAATCTTCATTATCAGTACAAAAAAAGAAGACAGGGTTGGGATCCATGTGATGGAGTTTCCACTCTCAGTAGTAACTGACAGCAGATGAGATTACCCAAGGAAAGAAGTAAGAGGTAAGAAGGCAGATTAAGACAGCAAGAGCTGGGTGAACACCACAGTTAAGGGCTGAGCAGAGGGAGAGGAGCTATGGAAGGTTCTGTGTTTCATAGTTGCTGTAACAAGTGGTCACAAACAGTGGCTTAAAGCAACATGAACTTATCATCTTATAGTTCCAGAGGCCAGATGTTCAAAATAGCTCTCACTGAGATTGAACTCAGAACCTCACACTTCTTAGGCAGGGACTCTTACCACTTGAGCAATGCTTCCAGTCCCTTCATTATTCCATTCATTCAGTGTGTGTGTGTGTGCATGTGTGTGTGTGTGTTTGTGTGTATTTGTGTGTGTGTGTGTGAACATTGTGTATGCCAGTACTAGGGCAACTCAAGGCCTCTAAACTTTTTCACTCAAGGCTAATGCTCTACTCCTTGAGCCACATCTCTACTCCTGGCTTTTTTTTTTTTTTGTCAGTTGTGGGTCTCTGGTCCTGGATGCTGTCCCTCAGCTCTTCAGCTCAAGGCCTAGCGCTCTACCACTTGAGCCATAGCGCCACTTCCGGTTCTCGGGTGGTTAATTGGATAAGTCTCAGGGACTTTCTTGCCCGGCTTTGAACTGCGATCCTCAGGTCTCAGCCTCCTGAATAGCTAGGATTACAGGTGTGAGCCACCTGTGCCTGGCTATTCCTGGCTTTTTTGCTGGCTAACTGGAGATAAGAATTGCATTGGGTAGGGCTGGGAAGGTTCCTCAGTGGTAGAGCGCTTGCCTTGCATGCCTGAGGCCCTGGATTCACTTCCTCAGCACCACATAAGCAGAAAAAAAAAGCTGGAAGTGGTGCTGTGGCTCAAGTGGTAGAGTGCTAGCCTTGAGCTGAAGAGTTGAGGGACAGCGCCCAGGCCTAGAGTTCAGGCCCACAACCGGACCCCCCCCCAAAAAAAAAAAAAAAAAAAAAGTTGCATTGGGGGCTGGGAAGGTGGCTTAGTGATAGAGCGCTTGCCTTGCATGCTTGAGGCCCTGGGTTCGATTCCTCAGCACCACATAAGCAGAAAAAAAAGCCGGAAGTGGTACTGTGGCTCAAGTGGTAGAGCACTAGCCTTGAGCTGAAGAGCTGAGGGGCGACGCCCAGGCTCAGAGTTCAGGCTCACGACCGGACCCAAAAAAAAAAAAGTTACATTGGTTTTTCTACCCCAGCTGGCTTCAAACTGTGACCCTCAGATCTCAGCCTCCTGAGTAACTAGGATTACAGGCGTGAGGCACAGGTGCCCAGCTCTGTTCCTTATTATTGAACTTTTTAGTCTCTCCATGGTGCCAGTATTATACTATTTAGGCTCTTGCTTTTTCCTGTGTTCTGTCTCATGGGACGGGGCAGGAAAGCATGAGGCTGATGAGAAGGCTGGATCTCTGTCACTCATTTTCTTCAGCAATTTTCTGGCTATTCTCTCTAATCTTTCAGTTGAATTTCTAGACACACATACACAGCAATGTGGAGAAGGGTCAGAAAGCGTCTGGCTTTCACACTGGTCCATGGGAGTCTCACATCCCGCTTTCACTGACAAGGGCTAGGAGACTCTGCAGAACCAAAGCTGCTGTTCCTTGGGAATCTATGGAGAAGGAATCCAAACAGGGCTCTTTCCTGGCACTGGTGGCTAACTCCTGTAGTCCTAGGTAGGATCTAAGGATCACATTTCAAACTAAGCCTAGGCAGAGAAGTCTATGAGATGCTTATCTCCAATTAACTACCAAAAATCTGCAAGTAGGGGCTGGGAAGATGGCTCAGTGATAGAGCGCTTGCTTTGCATGCATGAGGCCCTGTGTTCAATTCCTCAGCACCACATAAGCAAAAAGAAAAAAAAAGCCAGAAGTGGCACTGTGGCTCAAGTGGTAGAGTGCTAGCCTTGAGCTGAAGAGCTGAGGGACAGTGCCCCAGAGTTCAAGCCCCACGACCGGACCCCAAAAAAAAAAAAAAAAAAAAAATCTGCAAGTAGAGCTGTGGCTCAAGGGGCAGTGTGCCAGCCTTGAGCGAAAAAGCTAAGGCACAGTATCTTGGTCCTGAGTTTCAGAGTTCAAGCTCCAGTACTATCCCTTCCAAAAACAAATAGGACTTACTGCTAACCTATCTCCTTCTCTTTCCCTAGGGTATGAGGGACAGAATTTGGCCAAAATTCTCAAAGATATAGAGATGAGTAAGGTGGTACATATAGATCGATGGTCTGTGGAAGTGATACCTCAACAAACTGAAGAAAAGTGTGATCCAGTCCCCTTTCACATCATCAATAACTATTTCTCCATTGGTGTGGTGAGTGGGCTTGAGCATAGACAGAAAGGAGAGGGGCTGGGAATGTGGCTGAGTGGTAGAGTGCTTGCCTAGCGTGCATGAAATCCTGGGTTCCATTCCTCAGCACTACATAAATTGAAAAAGCCAGAAGTGTTATGGCTCAAGTGGCACTGTCCTTTAGCTTTCTTGATCAAGGCTGTCATTCACTTGAGCCACAGCTCCAGTTTTGGCTTTTTGATGGTTTATTGGTGAAAAGTATCTCTCAGACTTTCCTGCTTAGGCTGGCTTGGAACCATGATTCTTAGATCTCAGCTTCCTGAGTAGCTAGGATTACAAGTGTGAGCCACTGGCACCCAGAATTGATTATGTGCTTTTAACTTCTCCAGGATGCCTCTATTGCTCACCAGTTCCACATCATGCGAGAGAAATATCCTGAGAAGTTCAACAGCAGGTAAGGGAAAAGAATTTTTGTTTTCCTGGCTAGTCTGCTCAATCTTCCAAATGAATTTAGATAAACATTATGATCAAGTTTGACTCAGAATGCTCATCTGGGCAGTGACATCTTTAGGAAACTCTTCCCTACCCCCAAATAACACTCCCTTTGTTCCCTGTGGAGTTGAGAGATTGATGCTCTTTCCTGTCACTTACCATCCCTGCTGGTACTGTACAACCTGTCCTCTCCTTGTTGGGCCTTGTGTCGGGGCTGGCATAGAATGAAGAACAAGCTATGGTACTTTGAATTTGCTACATCTGAATCCATCTTCTCAACATGCAAAAGGCTGGAGGACTCTTTGACAGTTGAGGTGTGTATATCCTTTTCAGCTTCTTGTATCCAACTTTCTTCCACCACAGACACCTCTAAGAACTCCCCACATTCTTGAACCTCTACTTCTTTGACCTCCCAGTTCTCCAACCCTGACTTCCCAAGTTCTTAAGCTACACAAGTCTCTTTTTCCATCTCTAACAAACCTCCAAATCCTGGCCTTCCCAGTTTGTCCTCTGCTGGAGAGAGCAGTGACATCTATAATTATGCCACGAGATAAAAACATCTGTGTTCTCCCTGGGGGCTGTGTCCCGCTTCCCTCAGATCTGTGGAAAACCTCTGGATCTGACCAACCTATCACTAGAAGGCATCGCAGTACTGAACATCCCTAGTATGCATGGTGGCTCCAACCTCTGGGGTGATACCAAGAGACCACAGGGGGATATCTGTGGGATCAACCAGGCCTTAGGCACTACAGCTAAAGTCATCACCGACCCTGACATCCTGAAAACCTGTGTGCCAGGTCAGAGGAGTGCCTTGGGAGCTAAGTGGGCAGGGCTGAGGGAAAGGAATGACTTCTTTTGAGAGCTTTCTGCATCTATAAAACCCATGTCTCTACTTCTCATCCCCAGACCTAAGTGACAAGCGACTGGAAGTAGTAGGACTGGAAGGTGCGATTGAGATGGGCCAGATTTATACCAAGCTCAAGAGTGCTGGACGTCGACTGGCCAAGTGCTCTGAGATTACTTTCCAGTAAGGAAGACCTCTGAGGGAAGGCTTCTAGGGCCAGGAGCACCGAGGATTATGGGAACAGTGGGGGAGGGGCTTCCTTAAGTGAAAAAAGATCTCAAAGCCAACCTGAGAAACAGAATTTTGGTATTGGGTTAATAATGAAATCTCCACTAATTTTCCGTGATCTTCCACAGTACCACAAAAACCCTTCCCATGCAAATTGATGGAGAACCTTGGATGCAGACACCCTGTACAGTGAGTATTGCCTAGGGCTGTAAAAAACTGAACCCCCTTGGGGCTGGGAAGGTGGCTCAGTGGTAGAGTGCTTGCCTTGCATGCATGAGGCCCTGGGTTCGATTCCTCAGCACCACATAAGCAAAAAGAGAAAAGCTGGAAGTGGCGCTGTGGCTCAAGTGGTAGAGCCCTAGCCTTGAGCTGAAGAGCTGAGAGACAGCGCCCAGGCCCCAGAGTTCAGGCCCCACGACCAGACCCCCCCCCAAAAAAAAAAAAAAAAAAACTGAACCCCCTTTGCCCGGCACTGGTGGCTCACGCCTGTAATCCTAGCTGCTCAGGAGGCTGAGATCTGAGAATTGCGGTTTGGAGCTAGCCCAGGCAGAAAGATCCATGAGACTCTTTATCTCCAATAAACTACTCAGAAAAAGCTGGAAGTGGCACTGTGGCTCAAGTGGTAGACTGCTAGCTTTGAGCACAGAGAGGCTCAGGGACAGTGCCCAGGACTGGGCGGGGAGTGGGGGGGTGGGGGAGAGATGGAACCCTCTGTATGTTGGTATGTGGGAGGCTGAGATTGGGAAGATCAGCTCAGGTAGAAAAATCCTGGGAAGGTGGCTCAGTGGTAGAGCGCTTGCCTTGCATGCCTGAGGCCCTGGGTTCGATTCCTCAGCACCACATGTATCACATAAGCAAAAAGAAAAAAGCCGGAAGTGGCACTGTGGCTCAAGTGGTAGAGCGCTGGCCTTGAGCTGAAGAGCTGAGGGACAGTACCCAGGCCCAGAGTACAGGCCCCATGACCGGACCCCCCCCCCAAAAAAAAAAAGAAAAATCCATGAACAACCCCCACCTTCACCCCCTTCCCCGCGTCTCATGGAGGGAAGCTGGACACAGTGGTGTGTACCTGTGGTCCCAGTAACAAAGGAAAGGCAAAAAGTAAGATGGGTAGGAAGTAAGACCTGAGTATAAAAAAAAAAATCCAGTATAACCAGTGAAAACAGGACTGGAATGGCTCAGTAGTATCAGTCTAGCCTAGCAAGGTCAAGATTCTGAGTTCAAACCCCAGTACTTAAAAAAAGAAAAAGAAAAAGCCAAAGCCGGGCTCCAGTGATTTATGTTGTAATCCTAGCTACTCAGGAGGCTGAGATTTGAGGATCATAGTTCAAAGCCAGCGGGCAAGGAAGTCTGTGAGCCTCTTATCTCCATTTAATCACCAAAAACATCTGGAAGTAGGAATGTTGCTTAAGGCTAGAATGTTAGCTCGCCTTAAGCACAAAGAGGCTCAGTGACAGCACCTTGGCCCTGAGTTTAAGCCTCAGGTCTGGCACAAACAAACTCTGTGATTCTACATCTCCATTCTTTAGCTTCTTCCTCCTGGTACTCAAAATTCCTCTGGGTACTGGTTCTCCCAAACCCTGATTTTCCAGCCCCTAGCCTCCTTCCTGCAGCCTCTCCAGGATACCAGAGACCTGACCTACCTTAGAGTCCCCAAATTTTCACTCAAATCCTTAGTTCCTGAGGTCCTGCCTTTGAATATGTTCCCTTCCCTTCCAGATCAAGATCACCCACAAGAATCAGATGCCCATGCTCATGGGCCCACCTCCTCGTTCCCACAATTTCTTTGGCTTCTTGGGCTGAGAGTGACACCTTCAGTCTCCAAGCCAGCCTTGAACCCATCAACCCATCCCGGATGCCACCCTCTAGACTCTGTACATTGCTGCCACACCTTCCTGCCAGCTCAGGGAGGTGTTCCTTCACCCTCACAGTATTTATTATCCTAGACCACCTCACTGCACACACACACACACACACACACACACACACACATACACACACGAATGCACTCACCTACCCCACAAACACATATGTTAAAAGTGCCTCATCTAAATAAAATGACTTTTTCTCCCCACTGGGATATCTATAAATAAGTGATACATCTCTTTCTTTTACAACTTTACTCCAACAAAGATTCCAAGAAACAAGGAAAAAAAAGAAAAACCAGGGGCTGGGAATGTGGCTTAGTTCTGGGTTCGATTCCTCAGTACCATATATACAGAAAAAGCCGGAAGTGGCACTGTGGCTCAAGTGGTAGAGTGCTAGCCTTGAGCAAAAAGGAGCTCAGGGACAATGCCCAGGCCCCAGAACTAGCAAAAACAAAACACAGCACCAGGTTTTGAATATTTATTCCAGGAAATGGTAATCTAAGGGAAGACTGCAGAAAACATAGGCATTGCTGTCAACCTCAAGGAAAAAAAAGACCTCATATGAAATCACTCAGACCTGCTGCCCACTGAGGAGGGGGCTGTTCTCACCCACAGGGCAAGTGCGGAAGACCTGGGGCAGACGTAGCCAGTGGATACCATTGTGTGGCAGCTGGGAAATGGGGAGAACAGAGCCCTGCTTCATCAGTCTGCGCCTGATAGTGGGAGAAAAGGGGGAGAGAAATGATTAGCAAAGGAAAAGGCAGCCAATGGATGCTTCTCCAAAGAATGGATATACCCCTATCCCTGGTCTACTTGACCTTGATCCTAGTTCCCTCTCCTTCTCAACCTCCAAGGTTTAACCTTGGTTATTTCTCTAGTTATCTTGATTCATTCTGTCTTACTACATTTTCTGCTTTGAGACCTTGCCACCTCAGGCTTGATTATCTGCCTTTGTCACAAGTAGGAAGTCCTGTTCAAAACCCCAGTTGCCCCACACAACATTAACAACAGTCATCCATGCCATTGATTCTGACACCTGTGTCTGCCCCAGATGGTTTATTCACACAGTTCCTAATCCTGACAACAGCTTTGTGTGTGTGTGGGGGGGGGGGGGGGCGGGGAGATTCCTTTTCCTACTTCTCAGAGGTTCAAAGTTTAAGCTACTTCTCCAACATCCCCACAGATAGGCAAGGCTGCAACCCAGGTCTCTAATTCCCCAAGCTCTGGCTCTTTCCTGGGCACCATGTTTCCCCCAAAGGAAGTGGTAGTTTAGTTCTGCTGCACTTGAAGAAGAGTGAGTACAAGTAACAAGGGATTTGGGATCTGGGCTAAATGTCAGGGTTCTCACCTATATATTAGAGATGCAAGCACCACAGCCATCAACACCAGTAAGATGCTCATAATCAGGGGAGCCTGGCCAACGCCTGCTTCTTGACCTGTGAACAGAATTCCACGCACTGCTTCAGTCAGTGTTTGTTCTTCCCAGAGACACCTCTGCGGGCTAGCCTTCATCCTGCCAAGTACATACTAGGTATGATAAGCTGAGTGCTGGCCACTGCCAGGCTATTGGCATCAGCTAGAGACACATTGAGGCAGTAGGTTCCTGAGCCACCTGTCAGTGCTTGGTGCAGAACCAGCTGGCAGGCTGGGCTTGGTGGCACAGACTGGCACAGTCGCTGGGCAGGGGGCTGACATCCTGGTGATGAAATATCCATACAGGCTTCTTTGGGCAGCCTGGAAGAGATACAAGCTTGTATCGAGGATCTAGAAAGAAACACATCTTCAAAAAGCAAGAACAAAGCCAGGAAGCTAGTGGCTCATGTCAGTAGTCCTAGCTACTCAGGAGACTGAGATCTGAGGATCTCAGTTCAAAGCCAGCCCGGGCAGGAAAGTCTGTGACACTCTTCTCTCCAATTAACGACCAAAAAAGTGGAAGTGGCACTGTGGCTCAAGCAGTAGAGCACTTGCCTTGAGCTGAAGAGCTCGGTGCCCAGGCCAAGAGTACAAGCTCCATGACCACCACCAACAACAACAAAAGCAAGAGCAGGCAACTGTGGCTCACGCCTATAATTCTAGTTACTCAGGAGGCTGAGATTTGAAGATTGTGGTTCAAAGCCAACTCAGGGAGGAACGTCCATGAGACGCTGATCTCCAATTCACCACCAGAAAACCTGAAGTGGTGCTGTGGCTCAAGTGGTAGAACACTCACCTTGAGCTGAAGAGCTGAGGGACAACACCTAGGCCCAGGGTTCAAGCCCCATGACCAAAGTGGAGTGGGATGGAAGGGAGCAGGAGCAATGGTCAACCCAAGAATTATGGCAGCCGGCAGGACACTCACCCGCCTTGGCAGGACACAGTCAGCTCAAATGCATCCCCATCGCTGGATGGTATAGCTTGTAGGATCTCAGCATTTTCAATGCCCTCTGCAGAATTGCAAGAATATACATAGTAATTCCTCTACCAGGCTCTTCTAAGCCCACCCCTGTGTCTTCCAGGAAGGCCCTATCATTTGAGTATTCCCAAGTAATTCTGCCCAAGGTAGCTCGTGTGAGCCAGTCCCAGGCAGCATCTGCCTCCCAGCCTCAATCCCCAAGACTCACGGACAATGTCCAGATTAAGGGAAAAAGAACCATATCGATACAGGACACAATCCAGGGGTGCTTGTCTCTTCACCAACGTTAATGTATCTGTGCCATCCAGCAGGGGACTCAGGGACTCTGGCAGGAAAGGATTGGAGAGGCAAGATCAAGAGACAGACTCACTTGGAGGAAGAGGCCAAACAGGCATTTTCCTAAATAGAGTTAAAGCTACTAGAACCTAGATTAGAAGTAGCCAAGATCTAGACAATCTCACTGATAAGGAAACCTACACTGAGAAGACAATTACTATATTAAGAGTCCAAGTGCCAGGCGCTGGTGGTCACACCTGTAATCCTACCTACTCAGGAGGCTGATCTGAGGATCGTGGTTCAAAGCCAGCCTGGGCAGGAAAATCCATGAGACTCTTATCTCTGATAAAAACCACTAAGAAACTGGAAGTGGTGCTGTGGCTCAAGCGGTAGAGTACTCGCCTTGAGCTGAAGAGTGAAGGGACAGCACCCAGGCCCAGAGTTTAAGCCCCATGACCAACCAAAAAAATAAATAAATAAAACAGTCACACAAGGGGGCTGGGGGAATATGGCTTAATGGTAGAATGCTTGCCTAGCATGCATGAAGCCCTGAGTTCCATATAAACAGTACCATATAAACAGAAAAACCCAGAAGTGGCTCTGTGGCTCAAGTGGTAGAGTGCTAGCCTTTTTTTTTTTTTTAAATAATTTTTTATTGAGCTGGGAAGGTGGCTCAGTGGTAGAGCGCTTGCCTTGCATGCCTGAGGCCCTGGGTTCCATTCCTCAGCACCACATAAGCAAAAAGAAAAAAGCTGGAAGTGGTGCTGTGGCTCAAGTGGTAGAGCTCTAGCCTTGAGCTAAAGAGCTGAGGGTCAGCGCCCAGGCCCAGAGTTCAGGCCCCACAACCGGACCCCCAAAAAATTTTTTTTTTATTGAGATTAAGTGATTATATTAATTTCACAAATTTCACAGTATTGTTGGATAGACTTAAAGTCAAATATAGATTTGTGAATTAATAAGATTTAACCATACAACTATTTCTTTCAGAGCAGCTGGAGTGCTAGCCTTGAGCAAAAAGAAGCTCAGGGACAGTGCCCAGGCCCTGAGTTTAAGCCCCAAGACTCCCCCCCAAAAAAAAGTCACATAAGGAAGTGGCGCTGTAGCTCAAGTGGTAGAGCGCTTGCCTTGAGCTGAAGAGCTGAGGGACAGCGCCCAGGCCTAGAGTTCAAGCCCCACGACCGACCAAAAAAAAAAAAAAAGTCACATAAGAGGAGAGTTGGAGTGTTTTTCTCTCTTCTTTCATGCCAGCACTGGGACTTGAGCTTGGCCTGAGCTTTTTTTGTCCGAGGCTAGCTCTCCACCACTTGAGCCATAGCCCCACTTCTGTAGGTGTTCTCATTCTGTTTTGTTTTGTTTGCTGTTGAATTGGAGATAAGACTCTCATGGATTTTCTTCCTGGAGCCTGCTTGAACTGGCTTCAAACTGTGGTCCTCAGATCTCAACCTCCTGAGTAGCTAGGATTATAGGTGTGAGCTGGTCGCACCTGACAAAGTATTTTTGTTTTTTAAATCCCCAAATGTTTATCATGCCTCACACAGCACTAGGTTCTGGGTTAGGCACTTGGCCCATTTGTACATTGCTATCTCTCTTTTTTCTTGAGGATATCAGGGCCTGAGAAAGGTTACTGTGTTTTTATTCCTGAATAGAAATTGTGATATAAATATGTAACTGATCACAGTCTGTTCCCTGGCCTTCCCAGCTGTTCTCCTTAAGGGTAGAGAAGCAACAAACTTTCTCCCCTTAGCTAGTAGAACACACCAGTTCCCTGAATCCTAAAACTCTTGCAAATCATGAACAGAGCTTTGGAGCCAGTGAAGGAGTGCTGAGAGAGCACAGTGCTAAACCAAGGTCTGGGTAGCATCGGGGCTCTGCCTGTCTTTACCAGAGGAGTGACAAATACCACACACTCGTGAACCTCACTCACAACCCTTCTCTTACCTGTGATACTTTCTGCAGGCACAAATGAGCTGGCAACTAGACCTTCAGGTTCAAGGGTGGTCAACTTTCCAGGTGTGGTCACCACCAATTCTGTGGTGGTTATGGGTGCCACTGTGGCTCCAGAGGGCTCTGCAGGTGACATGTTTGCAGTTGACATGTTTGTGAGTGTGGTATTTATGGCCTCTGAGGTTGGCACTTGCTCTGGTGTAGTGTCCCTACCCTCTGAAGTTGCCACTTGCACAGGTGTAGTATTTATGATCTCTGTGGTTGGCACCTGCGTGACTGTGGTTCCAGAGGGCTCTGTAGTTAGCACTTGACTAGGTGTAGTACTAACAACGTCTGTAGTGGGCCTTTGTCCAGCTGTGGTACCAGAGGCCTCTGCAGTTGGTAAACCTCCATCTGTGGTACCTGGAACTGGGGAGGAGCCACAGGAAGGAAGAGGAATAGTAGCCTGTAGCACCACCTGGGCAGTGACAGGGCCTGACTCCACGTAAGTGTGAGTGACCATTTGTTCCCGAGAGATCAGGGTCCCAGTACTATCTCCAAAGTCCCAAGTGTAGGAGAGGTCAGCCCCAGTCAAATAACCACTGGGGTCATGAAGCCGAAGGGCAAAGATCAG